ACATATGTTTAGGTTTCTATTTTCTAAACCACTCTAGACAAATGGCACAAATTCCTTTTCTAAAAAAAACCCTTCATAGAACAGCATTCCTGATCTTGTGTTATTATTTAGCCTCATGTTTTCCTTATCTTATCAGCAGAAATCTCTATCTTATGTCACCAAATTTTAAGGTTATTTTCTCTAGTCCTACTTGTGGCCTATCATATCATTTTCTATATAAGAAGTTGTTAGATCAGTATTTAGAGAAATTTAGAATTTTAGTTGAATTTAAATAAAAATTCTTGTAGGTAGATACACATGTTTAAGAAGAACTAGGGTCTTCCCTGGTGGCTCAGTGATAGAGAATCTGTCTGCCAAGCAGGAGACACAGGTCCGAGCCTCGGGTGGAAAGATCCACTGGAGGAGGAAATGGTAACCTACATGCATCTTCTCGCCTGGGAAACCCATGGACAGAGGATTCTGTCGGGCTACAGTCCACGGGGTTGCAAGGACCTGGCTTAGTGACTAAACAGCAGCAGCAAAGAACAGTGGCTCAATGAAAGGAAAAGGAGCTTTACTGACCCCTCCTACAAAGGGGCAGTCTGCATCTCCACCTGTTGGATGTACTCACACAGTTCACAGAGTTTGCTGAGTATGTGCTTCAAAATACCATACACGCGCAGAATGCTGACTTTTAGGTAAACTCTTCTCATTGACTTGATACAGATACTAGATTTTTTTTCTCTCTAATCTCATGATTATCACAACTCATTATATATATTTTTCACTGACTGATCGCAGGTATACCATATAGTTTGTGGTGTTTAATACTAATAAGTCAATAGACAAGTTCAGGTTTAATCTGCTGAGTGAGCCTAAGAACACTGGAATGAGGATAGAAGTACAGAATATAACCTGAGCATTGAAAGGAACTATATATGCCTGACCTTGTGTGGATTTAAGGCACCAAATTGATTTCTAAATAAACTAGTAAATGTAGAGGTAAAGATTTTTCAGAATCTGAAGTGAAAAAAAAAAAAAAAGCAAAAAAGTGTTATGTTCCCCTAAGGTAGATCTCTTTTTATGTTAGACTATATAACAAAGCAATAAAGGAATAGGCAATGCTTGCATACGCAGTGGACTGTTTAAATATTACTGTGACTGAGAACAAAAGACTTCAAAACTTCCCTAGCTCTCCTGTTTAAATCTATATGGGAATACAGATTTAGAGCTAAATGGAGCACAATCACAGAGGGAGCCTCTGGAGGCTACGAGGACGATGAATATTGATGGGAATTCACTTCTATGTTGTGCCCTGAACCAATGACAACAGAACAGTAAACAGTATTTCCTTGGAGATGCAAGTAGATTCCATAGGCTGTGAGCTGAGACTCTTTCTCAGTCAGATCTTATTCAAAGCAGACAGTGTCTTTAGAAGGGTACACACATCCTAACAATTAGACGGGGCGTGGCAAACCAGAAACGAGGAAACAGAATTAGTTCCAACTCATTATAGCTATCAACAGGACTTTTTTTTTCTCCCCCCCAACAAAGAACCCAAAAAAGGCAATAATTTTGCCTCAAAATTTAAAAAAAAAAAAAATCAATCCAAAAAAAGTGCTATTGAGTATTTAGCAAGATTTTGCTGATCTGAATTCTACCAATGCTCCCCTTTAGAGAAATACAGTATTTTCTGGAAGATTGTTGCTAATGTCACTTTTATTTATGTTGAAAATTTCTATTTTCCAATTAGGAAAATTTCTCTCTGGCGTCTCCAAAAGTTTATAAGTGACCTTTCCTATGACAAAATGCCATGAGGAGAGAAGGGGAAAGTAAAAACAAACAAACAAACAAAAACCAGAATAGTTGATGAAAACTCTAAAAATGATATTCTGAAGAGAAAAATAGAATCCTTTGTTTTAGAGGAGAAAAGCAGCAAAGGATATTGGATGGAAATTTGGAGAAAGAAAAATCTACTCAATCTAGACAGAAGATACACTCAATGTGAACAAGGTATTAGTCACTCAGTCGTGTCCGACTCTTTGCAGTCCCGTGGACCGTAGCCTGCCAGGCTCCTCTGCCCATGAACCTCTCCAGGCAAGAATACTGGTGTGGGTTGCCGTTTCATCCTTCATGAGATCTTCCTGATTAAACCCAGGATTGAACCCTCATCTTTGCCTTGCAGGCAGGTTCTTTACCGTCTGAGCCAGCTGAAAAGTCCTCACTGTGAAGAAACCATCAGAAATAATGGGGTTGAATAGTAAAATGTAGCATGATGTCCACAAATAATTACTTTAAAGCTTTAGCTTAAATAATAGTACTTTTTAAAAAGAGTCTCAGATGTATAGAACAGACTTGTGGACTCTGGGAGAAGGCGAGGGTGGGATGTTTCAAGAGAACAGCATCGAAACACGTATATTATCTAGGGTGAAACAGATCACCAGCCCAGGTTGGATGCATGAGACAAGTGCTCNATCTGAGGAATATTTTTCAACTGGGGGGCTCTCATGTTCCCCAGGGGAAGGTCTGCCAAAGAGGAGGGTGGCAGAAGAGCAAGACTGGGATGAGCTCCGACAGCAGCCCTCCTTGGTTCCATCTGACTTGCCACCCTCAGTCGCCTCTCTAAGTAAATATTTTCAATATTTACACAACATTTGTTAAAAGAGGAACCAAACTGTTAGCCTACGTGATTTAGTCTAAATCTGCTTACATGTCATGTTCATGATTGCCATAGGCATGCAGATGCTGGTTTTTTTTTTTCTTGTTTGAGGATATTTCTGCTAACAGGAAGTAAGAAAATGCAAACTTTTCTTTACCCACACAAATACAGAATCTGTTGGGGTCTATCAATTTTGCCAACTTTTCTTGAGACCTTTCTCTACACCTTTGAGCCAGGATCTGGGTTGTTTCCGCTGCCCTGACGTCCCTCCTTCCTGAGCTTCTAGTAGACCTGCTGCGGGGCTCCTCTCAGACATGCACAAACTCACGTCTCACATTCTCAGTGCCCTTCCAAGATGCGGCCGAGTCCTGAGGAGCGGAGGGTGTAGGTCAATTCTTTTATCTTGACAGACTTGCAGCAAGTTGACCCAATTACGGTCCTATTTTCTCCCGCCATCATTAAAGATGTAAGACCCTTAGATCATCCGTTTTCTCTTTAGCTTTCTCAATCCTCTACTGTTCTCTCTGGTCAGCTCCCCAAATTTCAGATGTGCTCTCTGAGAAACTTCTGTTCTTTGATTATTAGATTCCCATTCATTCTCAGTCACCTCACTGATCCTTCCCAACAATGCCTAAGTGAGCACTGGCTCTTCCTAGAGGGAATCATCTTCCTGGCAGCTTTCACCAGCAGAAGGAAGCTTGTCATGCTCCCAAGCCCTACTTAAATTCTAGTCTGGGTGTGGGGTCCATGGTTAGAGGCTGCTGGCTGTATGTAGTTATTCATTCTTCTTTCTTCTGCAATAACAGAATGCCCATTTTTCAGTTGAGCCATAGTCACCCAGAGTTAAGGATATTTCCCCAAATCTTTTACAATTGACTGGCATGGACTAAGTTCTGATTAGTGAGATATCAGCTGAAATAGCATATGCAACTTCCTCAAACACCTTTCAAGGGAAGAGACACACCTTTCTTCTTCCTCCTCCCTATAAACTGGATTGTGGAGCTAAAACAGCTATGATTTGAGGAATGAAGATCACAAATTAGTATATCACACTAATAGCTATTGCCATGCACAGAGCATAAACAATATGATCAATTGAAATAGAAGTTTTTATATTAAAATACATAATCTTTATTTTGAAGAAAAAGAGTTCAGGTCCAGCCAACTGTATAATCCAGGAAACTGCTCTTTTATAGTGCCCATATGTTCATTTATCTTCAGGTTTAGAAATGGGTTTCCATAAATACAAAGTAAATTAACACTAAGAGGCCAGCCACAACGTGTCTGCATGTTCTATATGATCTAACCATCCCCAGAATGCGACCACTATATTATTACACTGACGTGGTTGAAGACCTCTGGATCGCTTCTGTGTCAGTAGCTTAGTTATGCTTTATAGTTGAAAAAAAATGATAAGAAACAAAGTTTTGAGAACAGGAAAGCCAGGAACTGGGGAGATTAAATGTTTCTTAGGTGCCTCTTGGCCAGAGACAGTGCAATTGTGTGTTTGACATGGAAAATTCCATCACAATAGGACTGGGCTTGATGGGAACAGTGACAGATGTCTGTCATGTCCATGTGTGATTTCTATCTTTGTATGGCTTTAATCATCAATAAAGCATTTATAAAGACAGAGCATAGGTAGTATGCTAGCATGTGAGAGCTCACTCCTGGTAAGAAAATACAATGAAGTCAGTCTGTTTATTGTTATCGAAGCACCCACGAATCCCTATCACTTCTATTGTCCTGCCTAGGTTTTGTGTTTATAAAGATATCTTGAGACATTATCACATGTTTTAACTAAAATTCAATTATATTTCTTTTAGTTATCTCCAGTGTTTGTCTTCCTTTAGAGAATATACAATTTCCTGAAATGCTCACAGCCTTGCATTCAACACTTTAAATTATACTGGAAATCAATGTCTAAATTGTGATTTGGTAGTTTCTGGAATCTATCTTTCATCTCATGTCTAAAAATTCGAGTTTCTCTTTATTCTATTGTTCTGGAATTTGTCGTATTTGTCACAATTAAGTAATTACTAACAGGTGGTTCCATGATCATATTTGTAGATTTTGTTTCTTAGAGTGTAACTGATTAGATTCCAGGATCTTAAAGTCATTTAAAACAGTTTGGTGCTTTTGTATTATTTTGATTTTTTGTTTGCTTGTTTGTTCACCAAGTATTTATGCAAGCCTGAAATGTTTGGATTCAGAGTTGGAATCAGGGCTATAATAACTAGATACAGATTTTGCTTGCTAAGAATTTGTGTCATAACAATAATAATAGTTAAAGGAAGTGAACATTGCAAGGACTACTTAGAGGTCTGACTCCTGAACACACTTCTTTTCCTCACAGTGTCATGGGGTCGATTCCATTGACTTTATAGAAGAGTCCTCTGAACAGAGAGCTCCAAGGAGTATTGAAGGCCTCACAACTCATCAGCAGCAGTGTCAGCATCTAAATCTAAAGTTTGTATTCACATCAGAGTATAACTCTGGCTCGTTAGCCTTCACTTAATTTGAAATTCTATCTCTTATTAACTCAACTGACCATGCCAGTTTGGATTTTAAGGTCATTCTTAACAGAAAAGCTAGAAATAAAGTTACATTTAGAAGTCATGTTTACTTTCTGTCACACATGGGTGTATCCTAATTCCATCAGTGGACATACATGACTATGCTATACTAATAGAAATATAATATTACATTGCCTTCTTCCAATCCTGGGGAATGTTCTTTCCTCCTCCTTTTCCTAGCATTAAGCATACTTGTAAATAGCCTTTACTTTTTTTTTTTTTTAATCTTAAGACTCTTCACAGTGATCTTTTCTTTCTATATATTTCAACATCTCTATCATGAGCTTATGGGTTTCCCCCCTTTTCAATGTGTTCCTTCTTCTACTTATCCACACTTCCTTTACCTGAAATCATCAAAAATATCTCTGGGTACGTGTATTTTTAAAGACATTATGCTAAGTGAAATAAACTGGGCATAGAAAGGAAAAAACTACATAATCTCACTAATATATGGAATGTAAAAAATCAAATACACAGAGATAGAAAATAGAATGATGGTTAAGAAGGTCGGGGAAGTGGAGTGATATTGGTCAAAGGGTACAAAGTGGTAGTCATGTAGGATGAATAAATCTAAAGATTTCATGTATAGCAGGATGACTATAGTTAATAGCACTGTATTGAATACTAGAAATTTGCTGAGAGTAGATTTCAAGTGCTCTCCTTACATATGTTAATTAGCTAGACTTTAGTGATCATTTCACTATGTGTATCAAATCATTTGTGTGCCTTAAGTATATATAATCTTTATTTTAAAGTTAATTTAAAATAATTCCTTCTTCTTCTGTACTTTATCCTTATTAGGATCATAGACTGTTTTCCTCTTTAACTGAAATATCTTGTCTCTGAGGATATTTGATAACAACAATAAGCCTTCTCATCCCCTACATTTCTAGATATCAATTTTTCTAAAGTCTAAGATGCATTGGAGACCAGATCTAGGGTTCTCTTCTTGGCTAAAGTGACAAGATGATTTGTAAGCTTCCTGCCACTTAAATTAATCAATAAATTAGTTTTGATAATAACTAAATCTAAAGCAGATATAACCTTTGTTAATTCCACTGCCTCATTAGAAATGAAAAGTCAGCAATATAATAACATTTGTTTTGCTTGATGAATATAAGATTTCTAGTCAAATTCTCTTTAGATTTCTAGTCAAATCTAAAGAGAGGCGATTGCCTAACTCTTGGCAGGCATCTTTGCCAATAAAAAAAGCAATGTGTATTAGAAAATACATTTCATTTGTTCAGTCTGCTCTCTTGTCAGAAGCAGCCAAAACTCTTCTTGATGAAATAGGCATTTTCTTCATTTAGAGTCAGGACACCAGTGTTCAAGTCTTGTTATTGGTTCCTCTTTGTAGCATCATCACATTTCAGAAGTAACCGAACTTCTCTTCATGTTCTACCTTGTATAAAATGTGATCAAAGGGAATAATGTGAAAGACATATTTTTAAAATATTATATCAGTATCAGTATCAGTTCAGTTGCTCAGTTGTGTCTGACTCTTTGTGACCCCATGAGCCGCAGCACGCCCTGCCTCCCTGTCCATCACCAACTCCCAGAGTCCCCCCAAACCCATGTCCATCGGGTCGATGATGCCATCCAGCCATCTCATCCTCTGTCGTCCCCTTCTTCTCCTGCCCTCAATCTTTACCAGCATAAGGGTCTTTTCCAATGAGTCAACTCTTTGCATCAGGTAGCCAAAGTATTGGAGTTTCAGCTTCAGCATCAGTCCTTCCAGTGAACACCCAGGACTGATCTCCTCTAGGATGGACTGGTTGGATCTCCTTGCAGTCCAAGGGACTCTCAAGAGTCTTCTCCAACACCACAGTTCAAAAGCATCAATTCTT